GGGGAAGCAGGCACACATGTGGTCTGGCGAGGAGCTAGAGGTTGCCTGCACCCTACACACACACACCCCCACACCCACCCACCACCCTACACACACACACCACCCCACCCCCCGTGACTTTAGCATGTGAAGAACTCATTTGCCTGCACGGGTGGAGCCAGCCGCTTTCGAGGCCGTGGGAAGGGAGGGAGGGGCCTGGGCTTCCCTCCCCCGGTGTCCGGCCTCCCGCCCCCGGCTGTGTGTTGTGTTTGTGGTTCTGTGGCCCCTCTTTTATCTGTTGCTATTTTTGTGACGTCTCCCCCCCCATTCCTCCGCCATCTCCGCCTTTTGTAAGTGGCTCCTGGGGAGGGGTCTGCTCAATCGCCCCCTCTACAGTATTTGGAAGGAACTGGGGGTGGCAGAGATGTGGTGTTGGGGGTCTTTTGTACGGTTGGATTAATAAAATGACTTGAAAGTCCAGACGAGGACTCCTGGCTGTTTCAGCACACGAAAGTTGGAACGAACCTCTGCCACCGCCGGCGCGGATGCCTGAGGGGTGAGGATACCTACGTGCCCAGGGTTCGTGGAAGAGAGAATGGTGGAGATTCTGGCCCCTGAGGTGACCTTGGTACCAGGCGAGGAGCCGAGGGAGGCCTGTGTGCGCCACCCCTCCCCCTGCGTCCCTGGTGTGGGAAAGCAGTTCTTTTCTGGGCACATTCCTGGAGCCAGGGCCCCAGGGAGGCAAGTGCCGTTGGTGTTTCTGGGTTTAGTGCCTCCTGCCCCTCCCCCAGTTGTGTGGGTTAGGGGTCAAGTAGAGCTCCAGGTCAAGTGCAGTGGGAAGGGGGCTGCCCCTGATCTAGCAGATTTCCCTTGGGCATGCTTTCCAGGTGTCCCCTTTAGAAAAGTAGCAGTGGCATCCTTAATCTGCACTGGCCCAGGGCGAGGAGAGCGGTGGGAGGGTTATTTCCAACCCACGGGATGCCATCTCCCTTCCCCCATCCTGCAGCTGTCCCTGTCTGTCCTGGGGTCGACCTGGCCCGTGAGGTCTCGGGAGGTACCACCCTTCGCTTTCAGTTTTGGGTCTTCCCCCTAGCAACTGTTTCTACACTGGGAAAGTAGGCGAGGTCACCGAAAACCCAGCTTGCGGGAAGCCCAGCCGACCGTGGGAGGAGAGCCCGGGGCCGGGGGCCCGGCAGGTCCCCCTCCCCTCCTCCGGCTCTCGATTCCAGCGCTGATTGGCCCAAAGTTTCCGCCCTCTCCGGGACGCTGGTTCTTCATTGGCCAGTCCCGGTCACGTGGGCCCCTCCTCTCCTGGGCTGGAAACCCGGGGAGGCCGCAACAAGTCGGGTGAGGACTGCGGGTACTGCTGGGTCAGGTGAGGCCCCGGCGGGGCAGGGGTCGCGCGGATCCCATCACACGGGAGGGGCGTGGGCTGCCCCGGGGACCCGGGAGCTGCTGGTCCCTGCTGGGCCTGGAGAGGCGGCGTCCGGGACGGCCGTGTCCCGGACCGGCACTTGCTCCGGCGCCCCGGGCATGCTCTGGTGGCGCCGGGGTCCTTTGCTTCCGAGGTTTGGGGCAGCCACCCCTACAGGGCTTGAGTTGGGCCAGACTCGCCAGCTTGTGCAGGGGGGAGAGCTCCCCCTTTAGCTGTCCTCTAGGAACAGCAGAGTGTCTGACAAGCCTCAAGGTCCGTTTTTGTGGGGAGGGGTGGAGGTGGAGAGGTAGACCGGAACGAGATCTGAAACCCCACGGGGAGCGATGTAGGTTGGACCGAGAAGGGAACTTCCTAAGAAGGTAAAGCGATGCGGGCTGAGGAGAACGGGGCCATCTTTTGGAATCTTGGATGCACTCTACGGACAGAGCAGTTGCAGAGTTTGGCACTCGGGGTGCAGGGGTTCCAGACTGTCCCCTGTTTGGGGCTCAGAAGTATTTGTCTTTGTTGACCCAAATGCCGGGGCTGGTTTCCATGGAGACAGTGAGTCTGACATCACCCCGGTTGCCATGGTTCCTGGTTCTGGAGGACCCGAGCAGGCTGTACACAGCCAGGGAGAAACAGAGACTTCAGCCCAAGCTGCTGCCACCTCCTTCCTGCCACCACCTGTTAACAGTCACGCGCAGCAACTGGGAATGGGGAGATGGTGACAGAAGGCGGCGGAAGGCCCGAGAGTGGCAGGCAGGCCTAACAGGGCTGGCTGTGTGGATGCCTTCAGAAGCTGGCCGGGGGGTCCCGTTGGATGTGGTGTGGGGGTCCTTGCAGCCATTCTCCTGTCTGCCTGTGGGTCGGCTGTGCGTGTCTAGGAGGCACAGGCCTCGGGGAAGACACCGTCAGCTGTCTGTCCCGGGCGTGGGTCTTGAAAGGCCACAGGAGTATCAGGACCCCGCGCAGGACTTGGCACCAGCTTAAATAGATGGGGGCCGCGCGGGGGTCCCTAAGCGTTTCTTCCCAAGCCTCACTTCCCTTCCTGGCGTTTCCTTACAGAGCCCTGCTCCTGTGCCCCCCGTTTGGCCCCTCTGTGAGTAGTCATGTGTCCTCCTCTGAAGGACCACAGCCCAAGACTCGGGGCGGGGGGGGTCAGCTCATCTTATTCTCCTGCCTTGTGCCAGGTCCCCGTCACAGCTGCCCAGACTCAGGGGACAGTCTTGGCTGGAGTGACAGGACAGGTCTCCCGCTCCTTACCCCACTTTGTGTCAGGCTTCAGAAGCTGGCGTGACTTCCCACCCCCACCTGCCGAGTCAGAGGCGAGTAGCAGGGCGCAGGGCAGGAGCCCTGATTTTCGTCTGCACTTTGCAAACCGTAAGGTCTTGACAAACGATGGCTGTCTTTAAACCCTCTTCCCAGTTGCCTTGAGTTCCACGGGATGACACTGTGCAGATTACGTAGAAAGGAAACAGAACTTAGAATGGAGAGTCAGCGTGATGAGGAGGTTTACCAAGGGTGTGCTGAAACGCGTCTGGGCCATGTCAGGTGTTCTCAGGCCGGACTGCACAGGAGAGAGCCTTCTGGGGGTTTCCAAG